CCACCCGCAGGGCCCGCCCACCACCCAGGTCTGGGCGGTGCGGTTTCCACCCGGAGTCCAACCTGCAGGCACCTGCAGTCTGGCCTACACACAGCAGCCAGGTCAGTCCTTTGCAGCCTGAGATCATGCCCCTCTGCTGCTTAGCGCTTGCCGATGGGTCCTCATTTTAGGGGGGAGAAGGGGGGGCGGCCTAGGGATTCAATGAGAGCGGTTCTCAACCTGTGGGTCGCGACCCCTTTGGCGGTCGAACGACCCTTTCACAGGGGTCGCCTAAGACCATCCTGCATATCAGATATTTACATTACGATTCATAACAGTAGCAACATTACAGTTATGAAGTAGCAACGAAAATAATTTTATGGTTGGGGGTCACAACATGAGGAACTGTATTTAAAGGGCTAGAAGGTTGAGAACCACTAAACAATTATTTATTGTTGCAAGTATTACATATGTCCCCTTTTTTACCCCCATTGTCCCCCACCCCAGGCCATCACCACCCTATTGTCAGTGTCCATGGATTATGAATATTTGCATACAAGGTCTTTGGTTGATTACCTCCCACCCACAACCCTTCCCCCACCTTCCCTCAGAGTTTCTTCATTCTGTTCCATGCTTCCATGTCTCTGATCCACTCCATTCATCAGTTTATTTTGTAGTGTTGCGAGTTAGAGGGTGTGTCATTTCTGTTAATTTTTCTCACCAGTCCCCAAAGAGGAAAGAGAAGGGCTTTGTTGGCTGAAAGGACTGCAGCCCGAAGAGCCGCCTTCCAAGGAGGGCGAAGAGGAGGGACGCGTGGCCAGTTCTGCAGGGTCTCACACCCTGAGGTCTTGGAGTTGTCCCCAAAATCACTTCTCTAGATCACTTCTAAGTCCAGCTGTCCACACCACTTGGCTAGCTACTAGGCACCCCAAACTTAACGTGTATGAATGGTGCTCCTGGCCCTACGTACCAGAAACATGCGCCACCAAACCGTCTTTGCCATCTCAATCAGTGGCTACTCTGTTCTTTCAGATGCTCAGGCCAAAACCTTAGAGCCAACCCTCCCTTCTCTTTCACACCCTACATCAAGCCAGTCAGAGAATCGTGTTGGCCCTGTCTGCAAAACAGATCCTTAATCCGACCACTTCTCACCACCCCCAGCTGCACCGCCTCCTCCAACCTGCAGGCCGGTGTCACTACCGCCTCACCCAGGTGATTGGTTACTCTGGCCTCCCTGCTGCCACCAGGCACCTGCAGCCTGACCTACACACAGCAGCCAGGTCAGTCCTATGCAATCTGAGGTCATGTCCCTCTGCTGCTTAGCACTTGCCCATGGCTCCTCGTTTCACTTGGGCTAAAAGCTGTACTTGATCTGCACCTGACTCATCACCTTGTTCACTCTGCTCCGGCTAAACCAGCCCTACTTGCTTGTCCTTGAAAAAGTGGGGTACCCTCATGCCACAGGGCCTTTGGACTTGCTCTTCCCCCAAATACCCAGGCTCCCTTATCCTTCCCTCACCTTGCTTTCAAGTCTGTTCAAGTAGCATCTTTTCAATGAATGAGACCTCCCTTGACCACCCTATTTAAAATTATAAACACACACACACACACACACACACACACACTCCTAATTCCCCTTACTCTGCTCTATTTTTTTCATAGCACTTACTGCCTTTTTACATGATAAAAAAAATTACTTATATGCATTGTATTCTGTCCACCATTACATACCACACACACACACACCATAGCCATCAGTGCAGGGATTGTTTCTATTTTGTTTAATGGTGAGTAATACCTGATATGTAGGAAGTTCTCATATATTTTCGGTATGAATGAATATCCCCAGAACGTAAAGTCCTCAAGGGTAGGGACAGTCGCTCTCTTGTTCATTGTTATGACCCTGGTGCTTAGAATGGCACCTGGCACAGAGTCAGCACTTAAGAAATATTTGCTAAATGAAAGTGACCGCGTTTTTTTTTTTTTTGCTTTGACCTTAGTGAAGGCCTGTAATCAAATAGGTTCTGCTGCCTTCAAGAGCCTGAAGTTCTAATTGTTATTCAACAAGCATTTCGACAAGCTAAATCCGGCCCTGTAGACCAAGTATGAAAAAAATAAATGATGTGGTGCCTTGGAAAGCAGCAGACGTCTGCTCCATTTCCCCAAATTTATGGAGCCAAAAGAGGGAGATTGTAAATAAAGTGACTGGTCCCAGCCCACAGCTGAGAGATGGTGGGAAAGATCATGTTGTACTAGGGAAAAGGAGAAGTCAAAGAGATAGATAACTGGGACCTAAAGGGAACAGGTATTTCGTAATCATGTTGCCTAGAGGAATCTGCTCAGAATTTATGGCATCTGGCTTCAGGGGAGAAAAAGAGAAATAATTGTGTTCCCTGAAACAGATTTGCAGTCCTGTTTGCAGAACAACAAGGCACCCTCCCCCCTCTTAAACTTCTTTCTGCAGAACCTTAAGGAGAAAGTGAGCCGAATTTTCACTAAAGGTTGAGAACACTAGGCTCTTCTCGTGGCTCTGCAGTCCTCACGGGTTTGAAGAGGTGGGACAGTCCCACTAACATTTACTGAGCGCCTGGCCCACAATGACCCAATGAGTGAAGGACTGTTGACCTCATTTGACTGGTTGAGGAGACAGGTTTTTAGAGATTGTCATTTGCCCAAAGTCTGCAAGCTAGTGTGTGATGGGGCTGTGGTGTGCATTCAGGCAGCGGGATGGATTCCTAGCCCCTGAACACTTAATCACTAAATTACATGGAAGAAACACTAAAAGTCCCATCATCCAGCCTAGCCCACACAGTGGAAGGAGGGAGGCAACCAGATTCACCATCCAAACTCAGACTGGGTAGGTTTTAAATGGAGCCAGAAATATTAAGTGTGTGGAAACATGGGTTGAATTGCGTCCTCCCGGAGTTCATATGTTGATGCCCAAACCCCAGTACCTCAAAATGTGATCTTGTTTGAATATAGGGCCATTGCAGATGTAATGAGTTAAGATGGCGATTTTCAACCTTCTTCATCTCATGGCACACATTAACTAATTACTAAAATTCTGCGACACAACAAAAATTTTATCATATTTTTTGCTGGTCTGCCAAAAAAATGTTATAATTTTGATTCATTCACACCAGACAGCTATTGTTGTGTTGGCTGTTGTCATTTTTTTATTTAACAGTCTTAGGGAAAAAAGGTCAGTGCCCCTGACTAAATAGTCAGGCATTGCATGTTTTAAAAATTCTTGTGGCACACAGGTTGAAAATCACTGAGTTAAGATGAGGTCATACTAGAGTATGACCCTCATGCAGTATGACTGGTATCCTTATTAGGAAGGGGAATTTGGACACAAAGAGAATGCCAAGTGAAGATGAAAGCAAAATTCAGCGTATTGCATCTACGAGCCAAGGAATGCCAACAAACCACTAGAAGCTAGGAGAGAGGCATGGAACAGTTTCCCTCATATCCCTCAGAAAGAACCAACCCTACGAATGCCTTGATCTGGGACTTCCAGCCTCCATAACTGTGACACAATAGATTTCCATTTAAGCCACCGAATTGGTGGTACTCTGTTCTGAAAGCCCTAGGAAACAGTACAAAATGGGTTCTAAATGTCCAAGTGTATGAATGTGAGACTGTCATTTTGGCCACACAACATTCACCCATTACCCTTCTAGTTACCATCCTCCTATTTCCCTCTGAGGATCCATCCTTTCCTCCTTCCCTCCCACCTTTATTCTCAGTCTGTGTTCTCTTACTGAAACACTTGGATTCTAGGAGTCCACCATGACCCAGTGATAAGCCATAGGGATAGGCTCAGAGGTTGCAATGGGACCAGGGTGTGGGAAGCCACCCATTGTCTTCAGTAGCAGAGAGGTGTGGACAAGGAACACGGAAGGCTGGTGACCCTTGAGCCCTGGCAAAGGTCAGAGCTATGCACCCACTGTTTAGTCGAGACAATGGTAGCTGAAGCAACTTCCCCACCAGATAGTCATGTAAATCCTTACTGATAAGATAGTCTGTCTATTACTGGAAATTGCCTACCTAAGGGCTATTGGTATATCCCAAATTGAATAAAAGGATGGCAAGGCCTGAGCCCAAGTGGAGTCTATCTTCTTGCTTTGGGCTCCCGCCTGGCCCCCCAATTTCCAATTATTATTTCTTGTCTCGTCTCTGTCATTTGCACGCAGACCCTACTTCAGAGCCCGAACCCTGAACCATGTGGGACATAGGTCTTCACACCAGGGCAATGAAGTTTCCTGGTGAGTGCTGGCACAGAGTCTTGTTCTCCTCTGCCAGGTGAGAACCTGGATGCAGATGCTCTGAAACTCTTGCCTCCACATGCAACATGTGAATAGCACCAAAGCAGCAGAAGATAGAGAAGAGAGGAACGGAAGCAGAAATCTCACAATATTATTTGAGCCCTGAATCCTGCCCTGCTTGAAACTAGATCTCCCACTGGACTTTTCAGATGTCAGCCAAAAATTTCCTTTTGTTTTTAAGTCAGTGTGGCATGGAATTTCTGCTATTTGCAATAAAAAGACTCCTCATTGAATAATTTTAACTTTGCTTCATCTGTGCAACTGAACTTTATACATGAAGTAGATATAACCTTTTAAATATTGATCATTAGTTATGAACTAAGAAATGGAAAAAGTAATTATAAACCAATGTAATATCCTATTTTATAATTATACTAGAGGCCCAGTGCATGAATTCGTGCATGGGTAGACCCTCGGGGTGGCCTGCAGGGATCAGGCCCCAGCTCATGCCCCCAGCCCCGCAGCCCTGCAGCCCTGCCTGGCACCCTGCAGTGGCCTGGCACCACCCCCTCACCTCTGCTCCACCATCCTGCCTATGGGGCGATCGATAGGGGCTGCCCCCCACGCCCAGCTCTCTCAGTGCCTGGAAGCCAGGTGGCAGCCCTACCCTCTGCTAACGTTGCTGCTGGTCACAGTCTACAGGGTGATCGGTGGGGCGATCGGGCCCCCACTCACACCCGCCTTGGCCTGGTGCCTCCCACTCATCTGCTCCACCATCCCGTCACAGTCCCACTGTCATTGGGGCCCATCGGAGCTGGCAGCACCTTCACTGCTGCCCACTACCAGCGCCACGTCACTGATCCCCGCCATGGTCTGCGCCACCTCCTGGTGGTCAGCGCACATCACAGCAAGCGGTCAAACTCTTGGTTCAACTCCCAGTCAAATGACTGCCTGAGGGGACAATTTGCATATTAGGCTTTTATTATATAGGATATGTAATTTTATGATTATATATATTCTGATATAGACATGGTTTTAGAATAAAAGAAAAATTATCCACAAAATATTAACAGTGCTTTTCTTAAGTTGGCAGATTTCTGGGTGATCTTAATTTTGCTATGCTTTTTTGGGTTGGGTTTGGGTTTTTTTGATTTTCTTTTTTATTTAAAAGAAACTCAAATACTAATAATTTCTCTGATCATTTCTCCTTTGAAGATAGAATGAAGGACCTGTTATATCCTCCAAATCTCAGCACCACAAGCAATAGTCCTCCAACCTTCAATTTGATAACTGGTTGATAGCCTAACCATTGATCGAAGAAGGGGGCAGCATCCCTTTTGATAAACCCCCAGATGAAAAGACTGAAAAATGGAAATTCTTATAGACTAGCAAACAAAATTATAACTCTAGAGGAGGGTTTTAACCTTTTCAAACATTTCAATTTGTTTTAATAAAATTGATAGTTATAAGAACAGTGATGAGTGAGGCTCTCATAAATTGTTATAACATGGCCTTATTTTTTTTATAAAGTTAACTGAAAGATAGGCTTGTGGTTACACCCTAGAAAGGAATGGGAGAAGAAAGGCCAAATTTCAGGATTGCAGAGTCTGCCAGAACAATGTACTGTAAATTAAGGGTGAGAGAATGCATTTGGCTCAGTTCAGAATTCACTCACCCTTTGTATTCAATGAAAACTAAACTCAGACCTCTTGATATCTGAGTTCCATTTACTCTTGGCAAAGTTCACTTCTCTGGTTCAAATTTTAAAAAAATGGCCGGGAGGGTTTCTTGGACAAGGTATGGTTCTTGCATAAACAACATGTTGATGAGCTAAGTGTAAATGAATCAGAAACATACAGAGTAAGTGGCTCAAACACACAGAAACCTCCTATGCTATAGGAAAATGGGCTCAGGGAAGCACTATGTTTGTCTCTTCTTTTAAGGAGTATTTCTTTTACCGTATTTTATCCCTTTCTCGGGACGTCTTTGAGAGCCCTTTGTAAAATGTGGGGAAAGGAAGCGAGTATATATCCAGCTGTTCCTAATGTTGACTTCTCATAATCCCTTCCTAACTATGCTTTAAAAGCTGGGCTTTGGAAAGAGGCAGCATGACCTAGAGGTTAAGGTCAAGTGAGAAGTTCTGACCCTAGCCCTGCCACTAAATAGGCATGTGACTTCGGACCGGCAGACCACCCTCTTCTCTGATTTCCTAAGAAAGGGCCTTTGACCAGCCTCTTCCAGGCTGGCTATGCATTCGATCAAGTCATAATCAGAGAACTTGAAGTTGACAGCCTGGCATATGTGTTTTATGTGACCCTCACTGTATTCCTTCTCTTGTGTGTGTATGTGTGTAACAACTTTATATAATTCACATGCCATACAATTCATCCATTTAAAGCAGTGACTTTCAACTAGTATGCTGTAAGAATTTTAAAAACACACTATACCTTTCTATTTAGTCAGGGGCACTGACCTCTTTTCCCTTAAATTGTCAAATAAATTTTAAAAATGACAACAACTGCTGGAAGCCGGTCCATCCTTGCTGCTTGACACAGGGGCACTGACCTCTTTTCCCTTAAATTGTCAAATAAATTTTAAAAATGACAACAACCAACACCACAATAGCCATCGGTGTGAGTGAATCAAAATCATACCTTTTCTTTGTCAGATCGGCAAGAAATGTATATTTTTTTGGTATGCTGCAGAACTTTAGAAACTAGTTTATGTGTGCCATGAGATGAAAAAGCTGAAAATCACTGCTTTGAAGTATGCAATTCAATGGTTTTTCATATATTCACAGGGTTGTGCAGCCATCACCACAATCAATTTTAAAACATTTTCATCACCCCAAAAGAAACCTGCATGCTTTAGCAGTCACTTCCCATTTCCTTCCATTCTTCCCTCTCTAACCTAATATCTCTACAGCTGTGCCTCTTCTGGACATGTCATATAAATGGAATCATATTTTAATTGGCCTTGTGTGACTGGCCTCTTTCACTTATCATTGTTTTCAAGGTTTCTTGATTTCTTTTTATTGCCAAATAAGATTCATATAATGTTTATCCATTCATGACTTGATGGACATTTCAATTGTTTCCACTTTTTGAATATTGTGAATAATGCTGCTGTGAACGTTCAAGTACAAGTTTTTGCGTAAACATGTTTTCATTTCTCTTGAGCATATATCTACACATGGAAATGTGGAGTCATATGGTCACTCTATGTTTAACCTTTCAAGAAACCGCTGAAGTGTTTTTCCAAAGGGGCTACACCATTTCACATTCCCACCAGCACGTATGAGGGTTCCAGTTTCTCCATATCCTCCCAACACTTATCTATTTGACTCTAGCCCCCCTGGTGGATATAAAAATGGTACCTCACCATGGTTTTGATTTGCATTTCCCTGATAACTAATGACATTGAGCTTCATTTTATGTGCTCATTGGCTATGTGTATATCTTCATTGGAGAAATGTCTATTCAGATTCCTTGCCTATATTAAAAATCTGTATTATTGAGTTGTAAGTATTCTTTAACTATTCTAGATGAAAGTCCCTCATCAAGCCCTCGCTGGCTTGGCTCAGTGGATAAAGCATCAGCCTGCGGACTGAAGAGTCCCAGGTTCGGTTCCAGCCAAGGGCACATGCCTAGGTTTTGGGCTCGATCCCCAGTAGGGGGCATGCAGGAGGCAGCTGATTGATGGTTCTCTCTCATCATTGATGTTTCTCTCTTTCCTCTCTGAAATCAATTAAAATATATTTCAAAAAAAGAAAAAAGAAAGTCCCTCATCAAGATATGTAATTTATAAACATTATCTCCCATTCTGCATTTTTAAAAAATTTTATTGATTTTTTAGAGAGAGAAAGAGAGAGAGAGAGAAAGAGAGAGAGAGAGAGAGAGATTGATTGGCTGCCTCCATGCACTCTGAGAGAGAGAGAGAGAGATATTGGCTGCCTCCCGCATCACTCCGATCAGGGATCAAACCCACAACCCAGGCATGTGCCCTGACTGGGAGTCGAACCCGTCACCCTTTGCTGTGCAGGACAATGCTCCAACCATATGAGACACACTGGCCAGGGTTCCCATTCTGCATTTTTTATTCTAATTAAGTAGCAACATTTAAAAAGAAAGGTTGCTATTTTTAAAATCCACATCGTCAGCTTCTGTTGGAAAACCAGAAGGTTGGTTTGGCAACAATGGCCCTGCCTTCTGTGCAGCAACAAGCAATATGAACAGAGCAGGGGCTACCCCCTTGAAATGGGACAGGGAGCCCTCCATCTGACCATGTAGGCGCTCGTAGACATCCCAGGTGTGACTCCTTCCCTTAGAGAATTTGACAAAGCATGGCCTGGATTTCAACTCCACTGAAATTGTCCTTGCCATTGAGTTACATCAACTACTTCTTGCCAAGATCTTTTCACCTTTGGCACTTAGAGAGAGGAAGAAAGAGAGAGAAACATTGATTGTTGACACAGAATCCCCCAAACTTAGCACCATGAACTATCAAGTCCTCCACTCTTCCTGTTTTGCCATTTGTATTTTGCAATGCATGGGGTAATTCACTGGGACATGGCAAGGCCTCCAGAATTTTGGCAGCCTTGTTGGTACTGATGTCATGAGTGTTCCTTGCCATAATGCATCCTTATTACTAACGCAAACCAGCTAAACTCAAACAAATGGAGTTTAAAAAAACACACACACAGAGTAACAGGCTGCCTGAGCTTTGAAACACTACAAAAAAATATCAGAAAAACAATTTCATACTTAGAACATAGCCAAGAATGAAAATCACAATTTCTGATTGTTAATCATCCTTTTTTCTAATTATAATTTGCCTACTAACCTGCTCAGAATAAAATGAGGATCTCTAAAAAGACTCATTAGTAACTGAACCTTGTCACATAACATTATTTTCTCCTGTTTCTCTCACTTTTGTTTAACTTTTCATTCATCTATCTCTTTATTTAAATAGTTTTATTCTTTTTTTTTTTTAATCCTCACCTGAGGACATGCTTAGAGAAAGAGAGAACGAGAGAAACATCAATTGGTTGCCTTCTGTAACTGGGGATCGAATCCACAACCCAGATGCGTGCCCCTACCAGGAACTGAACCAGCAATGTTTCAGTACACAGAACAATGCTCAACCAACTGAGCCACTCTGGCCAGGTGTAAATATTCTTTATTCTTACTTGTTCTTTTTTAAAATAGTTTTATTGAGATATAATTCACATACTATACAACTCACCCATTTAAAGTGTACAAGTAAATGGTTGTTAGTATACTCACCAAGAGTTATACAATCA